AGGTGCCTCACCGACGTGTTCATGGGTGGGGCCGAGTTGGTTTTTGCGCCCTAGTCGAAGCGTAACTGGAGATGCGCCCTTTCGCGTTTAACGAAGTCTGAGGAAGAAATCTTCATCATTTATGTCATTTCACATACGTCAGTCTGTGTACAAGCCAGTGTTAAGTCAAGGTTTTGATTGTCAAGGCCGGCAGTTGAATAAAAAGGTACATTTTAGACAAATTATACACGAGTTTTAAAGAAAAAGGAAGATATACGCTAACTTTGTGTTGTGTGTGCACAATCACAACTGTTTTTGCAGGAGTTCATCGTAACTCCAAAGACGGCGTTTCATCATGCAGTTTTCATGCACAGCACCTAGGGAAATACGGAATGGCCAATACTTGCATTTGATATTCTCGTAAGTTTTGAGAAATGGCAGGTACATTTTGGTGGTGTTCTATTTGAGTTCGAGAAGAGTCATATTCTTGACCAAGTAACTTGGGTGACTTTTTTCCCTTGTCCCTTTTTGTCACTCGAATATACTGATATACAATTTAGGGCCAGTGAGGCTCTAGATATAAATGACAACATGAAGTTTCGGTCTTGCCAAAATTTAATGTGACGTGGGTTACGTGGAGATAAAAACAAAACTGAATGGAGTGCGCCGTGATACAGAGGCTGGATACAGCTTTTTGGACGTGATTAGTTTAACACCCAAATCCAATGATTCGACTTCCAGTGGATTCTCTGTCATTCTCTGTTGTTGAAATTCAAAGAACTATAGGGATTGTTTGTTTGTTTTGCCTTTGTTTGACCAGTTTTGTGCTTGTATTCGGGGGAGCAGATCTGTTGGCGTGACGCAAGAATATTAATCCAATACAAGTGGGACAGGCATGTCTTTTGTGAGGATTTCTGTTTGAAAATATCAAGTGATTCTGCAGTTGAAAGCAAGCAAAATTGTACTAAATGTTTTTCCATCAGTGGAATAAGGAGGCAAATGTTGCCAGACTGTGCAGCCCCTTGATCTGTTTCTCTTGCACCGTCAATAATAAAAATTCACTATACAGATACGTCGCTGTTTTTTCGATTGAGATCACTAGGCAGAAATGGATCCAAACACGGTTGAAATCGGTTTTATTATCGAACATTTAAGAAAATGAATAAAAAAGTGATCTGTGTATTCAACCCAGAAAAAATTGCCTTGAGATCGAGAGTTTTGCGCTTGCAAATTAAAAAAAAAAAATAGGTGAGGGAAAAATTTAAAAGTTATGTGGTGTTGACCAAGCATTCAGGCGCACGGACTCCTGAAATTCGCAAGGAATCGCAGTTACCGGCTTCCATATAGG